CGTTTTATGTTCAAATCAAATTCATGGGGAAGAGAAAAAACAAGAAAGTAATGTTCCGTTATTACTTCATACGAATGTTCAGAAAAGTTGACGTTAGGATAAGTCTTCTTGACGCATGTGTGGACATCACTATCCACCATGCAGTTAAAAAATTCAACTATTTTATCTGCTGGTATATTGATAATACCTGCTACATATTCAAACCTATTCAACCATTCAGAAAAATCTTTCTTTTCTTTTAATTTATAATCTTGCATCAATGTAAGAGCTCGATTTTTATAACTACTTATTAGATTATCTTCGTGTAATAAATCCAAATTGTTCATTATTTCGAAATAGAAATTCCTGTCTAATATTTTTTCTAAGTAAACAGATAATTTTTGTTGATACTACTTTGTTCGAATTATTGTTCTCTTTTTGCCAATAACAGCAATACACTTTCCGTAATGTAATTTTGAAATTATTTTCTTCGATACAACGCGTAAACGTTTTATATTTGGTATGATATCTGTGATGTTTATATAAAAGTATGTGAATGAATTTTAAAAACTGTTTTAAGAAATTATAAATATAACTGAATTCAACATTCCGAAATTATTGTAATATCTTAAAGGTTTTATATATACTGACGACTCACATTGTAAACTTCATTGTTCTGCGATAAGAGAGGAGAGAGAGGATGGTTTACAGCGCCCTACATTTGTCCTTAATAAGAATAATGGTGTATTTAACTATAAGTTTAATATATAAACTGTTTATTATTTATTTTAAATTTGGACGTTTATTAAAGAACAGAACAAACGGGAAAAATGGTGGGATTTGGTAATTACGGCAATGAACTTTCAAGTTTCTAATGCCAATAATAATAATAATAATAATAATAATAATAATAATAATAATGCTATTTATAAGAAGCTTTTCTTCTATCGGGTGTTTGGACACCTTACTTCTTTTATTGTACAATTTATTCAGGAAATAATTTCATTCGGAAAACTTGTAGATACCGTGTTTTTATTTTTTTATTTTTTAATAATGCAGTTAAATCAGTCTTTACATGAGAAAAAAGATTATTAATATTACATAAGACAATGTATATTATCACTCAAATCAAATTGAATATTTATCTCACAATGAGAATCTAACAAAATATATAATAAAAAAAATATGTGTATCTTACACAAAATAAGATAATAAAAAATTATAAAAAAAATGTAAATTATAAAGTAATTTTACTGTTATATAATAATGTATAAGCGCAACATAATTTTACACGTTCTCGACGAGCTCAATCACTGGTATTATTTTGACAATACAGTAATTGTAGACCCGTCGAGAACGTGTAAAATTGCAAATTTGTATGTTCGCAATTACATAGATAATTATTGAATATCAATCTTAAAATACAAAATAGTTGTTAAAAGACGACTCACACTAATAACAGCTATTTGAAATTCCTAAATAGCAAATTTACTTTAAATTGTATTTTTTTTTTTCAAATAGTATTGTACTCGTCGAACAGTTTTATAAACTATTATGAAATTCAATTGTATTTCGCTCGTTTTTTTTTTAATACAAAATAGCAAGTATCAATGCTTTACATATTAACTTTCTTACGTAGATATTTTTTGTTATTCATGCTATTTATTCTATTTGATTTTTTTTCTTTTCGTTTATTCAAAAAATTTTCATCCTAATTTTTGATTACATTAATATAAAATATTTATTATAGTCTCTATCTGTGTTGTCAATTCAATAAAAGTTTCAATAAAGTTTTTCTAAGATTTACAGGAATATTATTTTTCAAATTTTGATGTTAAAGAACTCATTGAAATAAGCAATTAGATATTTGAGAATTAATATGATTAAGAAAGTCAAAGAAACTGAAAGAATAGAGAAAATATCAATAACCCATTAGTCCATGCAGATTACAGTTAAAATTTTTGTATAATTTCATTTTTTATAACATTAATACTTTGAGTAGAAAATTTACTAACTTTAATCACTACGCTTAGATTTTATACATTTATATATTTTATTGACATTGCAATTTATATCACGAGTTTATTGATTAAAAGGTATGCAATTTTGTATGCAATTGTAATGTAGGTATCTTATTTTTAGATATAAATTTCAATGTTTGATCGGGGAGTAAACATAAGAATAAAGACATTTTCAAACTAAAGTATTATATATCTAAAAAATGAAACTTTTCAAAAATTATCTGTTAACCTTACAATTAGACATTTTACAGATGCTGATAAAATCTGTATTCTTACTTATCTGTTTATGAAAACAGAAAAGTAATAAACAGTACTTTGACGTCTTTCATTAATGCTTGTTTTGAGTATCAATATTATCGATCAGTATAAATAGCTTATGAAGGACTGCTTATGAATTTAAACTTTAACGAAAGTTAACATATGTAAAGCTTTACTTTTGTTCATCGTCTTTCTAACAAATTCATGTTTAGTTTATAAACTAAAGAGACATTTTTTGTGACATTGACATTTTCGAATATGTTTTATTCCTTCGACATTACGAAATATTTTATAATAGGCATTTTTCTTTTGTTTTTTTTTTGATTAGTACTTCGTCGAGTACTAGCATTTAATATACAATACGTAAAGCAGGACCATCTGCTACGTCAATTTGTCGAAAAATGTCGAAAATACAAATTGTTATTTTTGTAGTAAATTTATAAAACGTAATGTTCGTCTATCGAACATTTAAAATTTATTTCAAATTTATTTTCCTTTAATATTAAACAAAGAAGTGTTCAATTATCATTCAAAATTTTACATTTTTATTACCGCAATAACGCATTATTTTCTTTTTTTTTTTTTTATAGATAAAATCCTACATTTTTGTATGCTTCTTTTTCTTTTTTTTTTTTTTTTTAAATTGTGTCTAATGTATCGTTATGAATGAGTTCTCGTTAAACAAACTTGTCGCTACTTAGAAAAACTTCTTTTGCTTATATGTAAATCAAAAATCTTTTAATTACAGTCAAATTCGTCATCAAGATCTTTTTGCAATGGACTTATTGCAGCTAATCTTTTAGGTTCGTAAAATTGTTTTTCATAAAATTCCATGCGTTCAGCCAAATGTACTGCAGCATCGAACGTTATATGTGGTATTTGTAATAATTTATGTTGAATCGAATTGCTTTTAACACCAATTGTGAATCGAATGATTAAAAAAATACTTGATCTTATGCCGTAACAGCATTTATCAACTATCTTCCTTAAAGCTTTGGCATATTGATTTACGGATTCGCCTAAAATTTGATTTCGCATATCGAAACGAAACCTTGCCGCTAAGCTTCCTTGATAAGGTGAGAAAAATTCTTCTAACAATGCTATGAGCACATCGTAATGAACATCGAAAGGATTGGCAGGTGCAACTTTTTTATGAATCTTTACATAAGCAACAGTTTCAATTTTGCATAATAAAAAATACGATTTTTTATTATCTGGTATCTTGACGAGTTCAACTATAAACTCAAAGTTGTTTTGCCATAAAAGAAAGTTCATAGTTTTTGGATCGAACTTTTGAAGAAGTAAAATACCTCGTGTTATTGCTGCAGCTGATGGATCCATTTCATTCATTATTTATATCACAGTAGTAGATTATTTATTTAAAAGAGTCTTCTCTTCGTTCGATCTTTTATTTCACTAAAGAAATTTGATATACTTGTAATAAACTTCGTAAAACATTAAAATCCTTTTACTGTATTCGACACTGATGATATATTCTCTATGAAAAACGATATATTTGATAGATCACTATTACTTTATTTGCGGTAATAATATTTATTAAGAGAATATGTTTGACGTTCACTGGGTACGCACGAAAGTGAAATGAGAATAAACGGTTAAGGTTCTTTTGTTTTCCCCACTTCTGTTTATCCCCACTTACATACGTTTTGAAATAAGTATAGAAGGTTTGTAAGGAAATAAATACATTGTAAAGGGTTTGTTCACATCGTTCTTAGATATCGTAACAATCTCATGATATGTGAGAACACAAACGTGCTTGAGAATACTAAACCTAAGGTTACGTTTATGGTTGTCACGAATTCTGATTTAAAAAATCAATATCTGCAGAATATTTTTGGATTTATTTGACAACCGTGGTGACTTTTGTATTTCAAACTGTTCATTTTAAACAATTCATTTTTTTTCTGTATTCGTTCAACTGTTCTAATAAATTGAATGCCACGAGGAGTTGTTTGTTTGGAAAAACAATTGCCTGTTTATACAACAAAAGAATACGTAAGATACATTCTTCTAATATTCATTTTAATTTTTAACGCATTGTCTGACTCTGAAGAAGAAAGAAAAATTTTCTCCTAAGAAAAATTGTTGATTGACATTTGTTTATGTCAGTCGAGGAGCCGTACGTAGCTTTTGTATTAATACTAATTTTTCATGTCTTTGTTTTAAGTAAAAACTTCTTTAAATGGGGGTGATTTGAAAAAATGTAACGCGACGATGCAGCGCGGCGATGCAACGCTGCGATGTAACGCGGCGAAGAAACAGGCCACACATTCTTTCATTCACCAATTTTTCCTCCACGATTTTCTGTAACTTTAGTACGTAAAAAAATAATCTAAAGGTTGATGATGCACCGTTTCATTTTAATTTGTTTGGCAGCACACCAGTTGCCCTATCATTTATAATGATATACAATTATATTGAGTAATAAAAGTTGTTTAAATGCATGATCATACGTTTCTCTTATTATAGTGAACGAATTGTTTCGGACCTATCATTCTGACGAATGCAAAATATTTCTATTCGATAAATATTAGAAAACTACTGCGCCTGTGCGTATACAGTAACGAACGAAGAAAAAAAATGAGGAAGTCGAACGGGTTATAATGTGTCTACAGGCGTATCATTAGAGAGGAAATCGAAATGGAAGAAGATTGTGGAAGAACACTGTGTAGATAGATAACGGTGTTTTTTTTTCCCCCCCAAAGCAAAAGGAAAGAGGTAGTTAGAGATTGACAGAGAGAAGAAAGGTTTAGAAGAAGAGAGAGAGAAAAAAGAGAGAGAGGAGGGAGAGAGACGGATGATCACGTGATTGTAGAACAAGTCCTTCATCGAGAACGACCTTCAGTTCATCGTCAGACCTTCCTCGTGCGAGTAGCGTGATTAAACTGAGTTAACCTTAAGACGTGTTCTTTCATAACCTTAAACTATTCGATAACATTCAATTCTATATTAACAACGTGTCTCCAATTATGATCACAGGTATGTGTAATCATTTAATATTTATTTAATATACTATTTTTGAATTGAAATTATTTTAAGGAAAATTCTTTTGATCGAGAAGTACAATCATTCGTAGTTGTAGTAACTGTGATACATTATTGATATTAAAGATTTGGATAAAATTTATTGAATGAAATTATTCGATAAGTTTATCTCTATCTTTTTTAACTGTAATGTAATGTCGTATTCTTTTCTTTTTTTTCGTTACGATAAGAACTTATCTATTGGATTCTTATTTGAATTTTGTCAGAATCGGCATTCGATAAAATTATTATTGATACGTTTTACGATTTGGATTCCCGTTTCAGAAAGCAACGCCCGTATTTAGTAGTATTGATTCTTCAGAAGTTTCGTCGACCCTTCCCAGTCCCTTCACGGTGCGATAGTCATCGTATCTTTTGTACAATATATTTCATTCGTTGCTAAGTTTATTTTTGAAGTGAAAACTTCTTTAGAATCAGGGTGATTTGAAAATTGTGAAACGGAAGAAACCGTGAAACCGATGAAACAAAAATAATTAATTAATTAATAAAATTCAGTGTCACAATATGTTTGTCCACTAATAATTCCGAAACTACTCAAACTTATCTTCATGAAATTAATTTTATTTCACGTGATTTTTTTCAACTTAGCACATAGCACAATTTTTTTATTTTTATTATTTTTTTTATTACCAATTTAAAGATTTTGATTTAGAAGTTATTTAGGTTCTGTAAGGTTCTTTCAATAGATGGCACTGTATTCCAATTCAATTATTTCTTTTTCATATTTTTTCATTTCTATCGTAATTTTAAACTCGTTATTTTAAAAACGAAATTCGCGTATAAATATAAAATGAAATATGACGACGAGTAATCATATAAATTATCTTATCTACGAAAGTTTGTATTATTAAGGTTATCTAGTCAACCTTTTGGAAAAAAACGAAAAAAGTTAAATCGAATGATTTGCAAGAAAAAATAACAGAATAAAATTCATTAGAATTTTGATAATTATATTTCACGAGTAAGTTTATTTATTTTAAACCATATTGCGCAAATAAAATAGCATCTTTACAGTTAATAAAATTACCTTCGTACTTATAAAGATCACTCGAGATATAATTTTCAACAGATCGGAAACCGGTCTAAAAGATTTACCGTAATTTTCGTAGCAAAAGAATTTCTTGAAAGTCTTATTACACTTTTCACGGATATAAACAATCGTTTTATTTCTAACTTCCTTCTGATCGGATGCATAATATTCTACTAGCATATTTCATTTAGCATTTTTCTTTTTTTTTCATTAAACATTAAATTACCCTAACTTTTTTCTTTTTGCGAACACCCTTCGTATAATTGACCATGCATGCAAAAATGTTAGATTTGAAATAGGAAATTGACTAACAAAATTGAATATTTTTGCTCTGTTTCTCGATAATTTTAATAACATGGAAAATTATGAAGTATTTTCTTCGAGAGCGTAAAATTCAACGCCCAAATATTTCACACAAAACTTTTTCTTCGTCTACGTATTATTCTTTTTATAAGTATGCGTAAAATGTTAATACAACTCCTACGTGCAGCATGGTTAGAATAGTTTGCAACATCCGTTTCTTTTCAAATCTTTGTAGAACGATAACTCTAAGTGGATCTAATTTAATATATCTCTAATTATCCTTGTTAGATCATTGCATAATATATGCTAGATGCATTCGAGTTAGACTCTTTTTTTTTATTTTCATTTATTTTGCCGCATTAAACTCAATCAGTCAAATTCATAATTAGAATTAAGTTAATGTCCTTTTTACTAATTGTTTATTTCACATTTGTTTACAGATAGAACAAGACTTGCTTACGTTACGGCAGCAGCTGTTGGTGCTGGTACAGCAGTTTTCTTCATTTGGTGGTGGTGGAATCATAAACAGAAATATCAATTACCTACGAAATGGAGGAAAGTAGGTGAACTTAGCGATCTCGTTATATATCCGGTAAAATCATTGGGTCCAATTAGATGCACGACGATGGAATGTACTAAATTGGGTCTCCAAATTGGATGGTTATGTGATCGAACATTAATGGTTATTGATATGAATGGTCACTTTGTAACTGCGAGACAAATGCCAAAAATGGTTCTGGTAAGACAATTTTTCAATAATTTGATTCATTAATTTATAAGAAAATTCATGAATATTATTTACAGGTGTCACCAAGCGTTTCGGGTTCCATTATAACGCTAAATGCTCCAGGCATGATGTCGTTGACAATAGATCTTATGAATATTTGTAAAGAAAGTTTTCGCACAGCAGTATGGGGTCAAGCAGTACCGGCTTGTGATTGTGGGGAAGAAGCAGCCAGATGGTTGTCACGTTTTCTTCTTCAAGAAGACGTCGGTTTTCGTTTGGTTTATTATCCGCTAAATAAACCAGTGAGAGAAATACGAGAAAAGAACAGAATCTTCCCTTTGCTTGAGAATAATGATACCGTGAGTATTAACAAATTCTTTTTTCTCCGTTTTTTTTTTTTATTTTCCTAGAATCAGTTAACTTTCCCCAAAGACTACAACGACAACAGCTACGAGAAAATTTAACTGGAACGTGGAATTGCTTTCACAAAATCCGCATACTTTTTCCATCAATTGTACTTTGTCATCTTGAGCTACTTTATTTTTCACAAAATAGAGCGTATCTGTAAATATCATTTTTCTTATACACAGACATGGTCGCACACTTCGTTTTAAATTTACTCAATGTATGCTATTTTCTCTACTTTCGAAGAAAGTACAGAAAGTCGTATACAAATCTTATTATTATTACCGTTATTATTACCCTATTACCGTATTCATCGAATAAATTGAAAATTGGGTTATTCGAATTGTGGTTATTCATCGAACGCACCAATAATTTTGTTCATATCAAGTATAATTTAAAATTATAGAGATACGCACGTCTTTAAGTCAACGAATTACCTTATACCGCCATCTGTTAGAATGATATAAGCTATCCTATTTTTTAAGTTGGATGAAACTGCACACAGTGTGGAAAATTTGATTAAAATCGGTTCAGTAGTTTAAGAGTCCATTGCGAACAAACAACGTGACACGTTATTTATATATATTAAGATTAAACGTTTCTTTTTTTTTTAACAGGGTGCTTATCATGATGCCACCAGCTATAATCTTATAAACAAGCGATCGATAATGGATTTATGTTCGCGATTAGAAGAACCGGTAACTACATCGAATTTTCGACCAAATTTTGTCGTAAAAGGAGCTAACGCTTACGAAGAACATAATTGGGATTGGATTAAAATTGGAGACATTGTTTTTAGAAATGTTAAACCTTGTACCAGATGTATTTTCACCACGATTGATCCTGAAACCGGTGTTAAAAATCCAAAAGTCGAACCATTAAAAACTTTGAAAAGGTATACTAATTATTTTTCTTTTTTTTACACAATTGTAATTTTTCTAATTAATTGCACATTTAATTATTTTTCTTTATAGCTATAGACAAATTATGGATCCAGAAATTCGTCCCTATACCGGTGATGCTCCGGTTATGGGAATTCATCTTGCTTTAAGAGGACCAAATGGTACAATACGTTTAGGTGATCCAGTTTACGTAGATGTCTCAAAAGAGGAGGAAACCTCTATAAAATCGCCACCATAGCTACACCGATGGTCCTCCTGCGAGGATGAGATTATTTTGAAAGAAGATAATTTTCTCGTAGGGGACCACAACTCGTGACGTGATCAAATTGAAAAGGAAAAAAAAAAACCGACAAAAATACTGTTTCGAATGTACCTCTTCTGAAAATTAGATTTAATTTAAGAAGAAGAAAACAAAGAAGAGAGAAAGAAGAAGAAGAAGAAGAAGTAGTAGAAGGAACAGAAGAAAATTTCTTCAGAATATTACTTGTGAGATACGATTTTGTAAAAATTTATATTCCAAATAATTTATCGACATAATAATTGTTGACAAAAAGTTATTATAATAATCAGAGTATATGTAATAACATATTAACATAAAAGAACTATTTGCTAATTAGAAGATAACTCATTTTGTTGTATCCTATCTAATTAAAAACTTAATAACAAAATAGGAGCTTCCAGTGTTACAATTATTGCGACTTATATTTTTGTAAGAATATATATAAACTAGTGTGGTTCTTATTGTGGATATTTTTGAATTTTTATGTCCGTAAGCTTATACGGTTTCCGAAATAAAAAACAATATCCCTTAATTTTAAAGTCTTAAACTTCAATTTTAACCTTTACCGCACAGAAATGTGAGTTTTACAGCGATAATTATGTATTTTTACTTTTGGTCATGATGAAATTACCGGCAGTTAATATTTCTGATGATAAATTAAAAAAAAAAAGGAATACATATTAAGAAAAAGCTAAGAAAATTTGAAATTATGAGAAAACTTAAACAAAATATTTGCACATCACTTTTAAAATAAACTTTTCATCATACTGTTGATTGGCAAATTTTCTTCTTACAATATCTTCATGATTTGAAATATATTAACAAACAAATTTGCTTCAGAATGTGAAAAGATCATGTAAAAATGTAGCTATTACGGTAGCTAACTCGATTTTTTTTTTTAAATGGAATTCGACCATTTTCAGAATAAACGGCTCATTTTATTTATATAGAAGGAAAAAGATTGTAAATTTATTTTCAACAATGATATTTTAAATTTATTTTAAATAAAGTAAATCACGTCAAACACATTAAGTTCTTATGTTTATTCTTATTTAATAACTTCTTTTGTTTTTGTTTTTTTTTTATTTAATATCATAGAAATATGCGTACAGTTCTCGATGAGAATTACAAGTCATTTTTGTTCAAATGAAACTTACATGGATATTCTATTTTACATTTACATTTTTCCTTTCTTCTTTTCATTTTCTTTTTTTTTTTCTTTTTTTTGTATAATATGTTTTATTATTTATTTCTTGTTTCTCAGAATAAGAAATACTAATATTAATAAAACTTTTTCCTACGATATATCTTGGAAATATTTTGCGAAAGGTAAAAAAGAATATTACTTATATATAATATTTATTAAACGATGCTCATAAAATACGATATCTTAAAATTAATATTTTACAGATGTCTCTATTGGCTCGCATCGGAAATTTTATAGAATGCTCACGAGGTCTGTATATGTGTATATGTGTACATGTGTGTGTTTGTGTGTGTGTGTGTCAACGCAAAATCTGCCAACATAGAGTGTTCTATAATAGTAATTGAAATAAGCAAGAATTTATGGAATTTAAATTAATAAAATAAAATAAGAGATATGCTTGAGCCAATAAAAATTAGAAAATTTTATTGGTTCGTAAAGAAAGAAGCTTTTGGCATAAAAATTCTTTCGTTATATATATATATATTTATTATTATTATTATTATTATCATATTATAATTATATTATTATTATATATTCTTATTAATATATATTATATATATATATAATAGTAATTCAATATATATAATTATATATAATAAAAATATATATATACATAATTAAATAAATAAATATATATATATATAATTAGATTGAAAAGAATATACCGAAATTGTCGTTTCTGTATTTAATTAATCTATAATTAATAATTAATAATTAATAATTAATTTAATATGCATTATACTGTGGTAATAAATAAAATATTTCTTCGTTATATCACACAATTTGGTTTATCCTTAAAAACAAATTGCCCTTATTTATATAATTATTAAATATTACTAATATAATAATAATACTTAGCTATATATACTAATTATAATTATCCATCATAATATTGAACAATTAAATAATTTGTTTATCTGATACAATGATAATATCTGTTAAATATTATATACATATTAGTCCTATAGTGATATGTCAGTCACTACATTTAGAATTATATTTTACAAATTTAATGGCATTTGTTAGTGCTATGTTGAACGATAAACAAGGTAATTCTCTTAAATATGTTTTTAGTTTTTGATCGAGCATTCCATTGATGAATTTTTTGCACAATCTTTCGTCATTCAATTGCGTATAACAACACTTTTTATATAATCTTTGTAAATTATCAGCATATTTTTCTATAATTTCGTCTTCATATTGTTTTCGAAATCTAAAACGTCTACGATGTAAATTAGATTCTTTGTATCTAGATAACATATGAAGATAATGGTTTATTATTTCTTCGTATGAACATTTAGACAAATTGATATAAGGATAAGTATCCTTGAAACGCGTATGAACATCAGAATCCACCATATTCATGAAAAATTCAATCATTATATTATCCGATACTCTTATAGAATTAGCTACATAATCAAATTTATTTAACCAATTACAAAAATCAGTTTCCTTTTCTGAACGATAAGTATTCATTTTGCAAAGTGCTTGATCTAGATAATATCGTATTAGACTATTTTTTTCAAATTTAAGCGCCTTTTCTACAGTATTATTAAACGATAAGTTAGGAATCTCTCGTAAGTATTTTTTTAATTCATCGTTGCGAATTCCATTAATAAATTGTTCGCATAATTGTTTTTCTACGCGATCTGTACAACTGCACATATTATATATTTTTCGTAAACTATCAGAATATTCTAATATTGACTCTTTATCATATTGTTTTCGAGAAATTAAACGTCTTTTGTTTAAACTCTCAACTTCATGGGAAGGAGCACAAACAAGATAGTAATGTTCTATTATTTGTTCGTATGTAAGTTCATGAAAGTTGATCAAAGGATAAGTTTTCTTGACATACGTATGAACATAATTATCCATCATATTATTAAAGAGATCAATCATTTTTTCATTTGGTATCTCAATTGAATTTGCTACATATTCAAATTTATTTAACCAATCACAAAAATCACCTTCCTTCTCTGGATTGTAAATGGGAATTATTAAAAGAGTTTGATTTAAATAATATTGAATTAAATTACTTTCTTCAAAATGAACAGCATTTGCTATCATTTCGTTAAATGACAAGCTAGTAGTTTCTTTTAAATATTTTCTTAATTCATTGTTGCGTACTCCATTGATAAATTGTTTGCACAATATTACTTTAGGATTACCTACGAAATTACACTTTTTCATTAGTTTTTTCAAATTATCAGCATATTTTTCTATTGTCTCTTCTTCATATTGATTTCGGCATTGTAAACGTTTTCTATACGAATCTATTTCTGTAGATTTAGAAAGAGTATTAAGATAATTCTTCGTTATTTCTTCGTATGAAAGTTCAGAAAAGTTGACAGTTGGGTAAGATTTAATAACACATGTATGAACATCATTATCTATCATTTTATTGAACAATTCAAGCATTTTTTTATTTGTTATCTTTAGAGAATTTGTTACATACTCAAATTTATTTAACCAATCACAAAAATCGACTTCTTTCTTTGGATCGTAATTATTAATTTTAGAAAGAGTAAAATCAACATAATATCGATTCAAACGATCTCTCTCAAATTCAATGGCCTTTGTCGCCATTATTTCGAATGATGGGCTAGAAGAAAATTCTCTTAAATATATTCTCATTTTATGACTGCGAATTCCCTTTAAAAATTGTTTGCATAATGTTTCGTCATTCGATTGTTTATAACAACACTTTTGATATAATTTTTGTAAATTATCAACATATTTTTCTATAGTTTCGTCACCATATTGATATCGAAATCTAAAACGTATTCGATACGGACTAAATTCTTTGTATTTAGACAACATGTTAAAGTAATAGTTGATTATCTCTGTGTATGAAAGTTGAGAAAAGTTGAGAAAAGGGTAAGTCTCATTGAAACGCTTATGTACATCAGAATCAACCATATTTTGAAAAAATTCGATCAATTTATTACGTGGTACCTCCATAGTATCAGCTAAATATTCAAATTTATTTATCCAATCACAAAAATCAACTTTCATTTTTAAATCGTATATATGAATCACATAAAGAGCTTCATCTACATAATATTGTATTAAACTATCTTTTCCAAATTCAATGGCCTTTTCTACCATTTCATTAAATGTTAATATAGGTGTTTGTCTTAAGTGTCTTCTTAGTTCATTGTTGAGTACTCCTTTAATAAATTGTTTACATAATCTTTCTTCAAGATTACTTGTATAATAACACTTTTTATATATTTTTCGTAAACTATCAGAATATTCTAATATTGATTCATTTTTATATTGTTTTCGTGAGATAAAACGTTTTTTGTTTAAATCAACTTCATGTGACGGAGCAAAAACAAGATAGTAATGTTCCGCTATTTGTTCATACGAAAGTTGATAAAAATTGAAAAATGGATAAAGCTTTTTGACAGACATATGGACATCATGGTGCACCATATTATTGAAAAAATCAATCATTTTTTCATTTGGTACCTCGATAGAATTTGCTACATATTCAAATTGATTTAACCAATCACAAAAATCACCTTTTTTCTTTGAATCGTAAATATTCATCTTGGAAAGAGCTTGTTCTATGTAATAAGAAATAAAATTACCTTTTTCAAATTCACTGGCCATTGCTAGCATTTTTTTGAATGATAAACCAACAGTCTTATTGAAATATTTTCTTATTTCTTTGTCGCGTATTCCTTTGAGAAATCGTTTGTATAATATTTCATCGCGATTACGTCCAAAATTGCACTTATCAATTAATTTATCTAAATTATCAGCATATTTTTCTATTGTTTCTCCTTCATATTGATTACGATATTCTAAACGTTTTCTATACGAATCAATTTCTTTCGATTTAGAAAGAATATTAAGATAATATTTTGTCATATCTTCGTATGAAAGATCATTAAAGTTGAGAAAAGGATAAGTTTCCTTGACACATCTATGGACATCATTATCCACCATTTTATTGAACAATTCAAGCATTTTATTATTTGGTACCCCGATAATATTTGCTGTATACTCAAACTTATTTAACCACGCATCAAACAAATGTTTTCCCTCATTTTTGTAAAGATACATCATTCGAAGGGTTTGTTCTAGATAATCTGTTACACAATTATCTTCGTCTAATAAATCCTCGTTTCTCATTGTCTTGAAAAACAAAAAACGCTTTATATTTTTACATACACGTAAAGTTCTTTATTCGATCTATTGATTCGTTTTTCAACATAACTGTAATACACTTTTTATATAATAATTAAAAAAGGATCTTTTTTCAAAAATATACATTTACGTTCTATATTATTATTTTAATATATTTTCTTTATTTATATATAAGTAAAAAAAAATATTAAGTCTCATTATACATGTATATACATTAAAAGTTATTTTTTAAAAATTATACAGTGTCAACTCGAATAAACGTGACGAAATTATTATAATATCTAAACGGTTTAACGTATACTAACGACTTACAATTTAAACTTTATTAAAATATAAGAGAGGAGAAATAGAGGAATATATTTAACACTCTTCATTTGTCATTAATATAAATATTGATATATTTAACTATAAGCTGTATAAACTGTTTATTGTATATTTTTAATTGGAACATGGGAGATATCAAAATCTAATTGATCCTCCTAACGATGTTATGAATTGTGTACAAACATTCAAACTTGTTTATTTATCTTTTATCGCAATTGCTACTACGAATATTTTAATATCAATTTGAATTTTACAGATAAAAAGTTAAACAAAAATCATAAATCATCGGTTAATGTCTCGATTCCTGCGGAGATAATAAAATGGGCGAGAGGGGAAGGGGGAATAGATTGATTGAAGAAATTTCTAAACTAATTTAAATCAATATGGAATAAGGGAGCATTGCCGGAACAATGGAAAGAGTCCGATTATAATTCCAATCTTTAAAAAGGGAGACAAAATGAATTGTAGTAATTACTGGGGTAATTCACTCTTAAAATAATTTCTCTTTTCACTCGATAATTAATTTTGCTTTCTATCTCTTTATTTTTGTTTTATTAACACTTAGCCGACCGAACGCCTCACAGAGACCTTTACAGTTTTCACCGCGCTCGAGAAAGCCAAACTGCGCTCTCAACCGCGCATTTTTCTGAAGTAGTGTTTTAGAAAATAATTTTATGCCTGGTAAAGACTCCATCGGAAATCCCGAAAATAAAGAACCGTAATAATGAGCAATAAAAGATTTCAAAAATTGATGCATTTTATTATATGTTGTCCGCTTACAGTAATTGCTGTCGCCATAAACCCTGACGAAACCCTGACGAAACCCTGACGCAACCCTGACGATTGCTGTGTGCAAACAACAAGGTTGTTGTATGCGAACAACAAGATTGCTTTTTATTGGCGCATTAGCGGAATTTTTGCTGCAGTAGCGTTAATACGTAAGTACCCAAAAAAGGAAAAAAAAAGAAAATTTATTAAGCTGACTTCATAATAACGAAAAAAAGAAATGAAAAAAAAAAAAAAGAAAGAAAAAGATACTTTACACTGTCGAGATAAGATGTAGATATTGGCAACTTCAGTTATACACACAACGCCGTTATTGTGACAACTAAACTACTACAGCTAAAGAAATACGTATCTATGTGAAATTTCAAATCGCGTTTTTTATCATATGGCTAAATATATATGCCAAGTTTAAAGGCAGAATGTATATTCTCAAGGACTGCTACAAATATGCAAAATTTGAAAAAATATCGGAAGGAGGGAGCCTTCTTGACCATCCTCTGATAAGTTGTTCAGAATAAAACAAATTTTGAATTTTTTCATTAGGTACGTTCGATTTAATTATCAAGTATTTATTAAGTTCTTCATGATGTGCGTATTCGATTCGATAATAACTTGCGATCATGATTATCAAATGAAATTGAATTTCATTCTTCTTGAAATGGGAGTAAAGTTATTGATATAGCAGGTTACTCTCTAATACGTAAAGTGGACAAATTATTAATTTATCTAGTTTCCACTAGAGAGCACGTCATATGCGGTCGCAGGCATATTCATAGAAATCCTCCCAAATTTGTCCTACGGTAACCAATAAGGTCAGCTTCTAGTAGTACCATTCTAAAATTTATAAATCCTAGCTCATCGTGAGAGTTTTTTTCTTATTGTTCTATTTTTTCCCACGATAAATATGTACATGCGTTATATGGAAAACATCTCTGTATATGAAAAGTGTCCGTCGAAATGCATTCAATTAGGGTAGCGTCATAGTAGCTACAGGGTAAATTTTAAAAGAAGCGCTAAATATTATTAGAATAGGATTGAGAAATAAACAAGGAATACAAATTTTACCCATAACTGTCCTTGTTAATCACACACTTTTTCATAAAATTAAATGATCAAAAATCTACAACTACATTATTACGTAACTTGGCATACTTCAATTAGTTTACAATTGCTACATTCATACCATACCTTCTGTCTACACCAGCGCCATTCTGGAAGGTCTTTGAACTGTTATTTATAAAAAACCCTGGACACTTTTTCACATTTTCTCCCATAAGAGATGTTACTCCTTATCTCTATCCTCCATAGAAATAAGAATTGTTTATTTCTTTCAGGAAATTATAACCTAAACGTATAAACGTAACGTAGGATTACATATAACTAAAGTAAAACGTATGTATGTAAACGTATGTAACTCTTGTATTGTTAATGTTTATACCAAGACGTTCATACAGAGTTTAAGAGTATTTTTTAAACATCTTTATTTCTGATCACTAAAATGTTTGTTAGACAGTACGAAAGTGTAATTGAAAATGAGTCGAGTAGCGATGAAGAAGTATTCAAATTTCAAAGAAAACTTAATAATATTATTGCATCAAATTCAAGCTCAGAAAATGAGAATTCGTATGAGAGTGAAGATTTTGAAGAACTATTAGAAAACCTGTCTACAGAAGAAGAGAATGAACAAAATGATACTGTTGGTTTATTTGACAATATCCAGTGGATGCAGTTTACCGGAAAACAAAAATCATTTGAATTCACTGGGAATAGTGGACTTCTTGTAAAACTACCTGCAAGTATTACAGCGGGTCAAGTTCTTTCTCTCTTTTTGAATGAACAAGTGATAGACCTTATAGTGGTGGAAACAAACAGGTATGCAGAGAAAAAATTTGGTCAAAATACTAACAGCGAATACCTTCAAGATAATAGATGGGAACCAACAAATTCTGAAGAGATCAAAATATTTCTTGGATTATTGCTTTGGATGGAGTTAGTGCAAGTGCCACTAAACGAATATTGGTCAACAAATCCTATTTATAATTTTCCATTTCCCCGTAGTAAAATGTCTCGGAAACGATTCAAATTATTATTATCAAATTTACATTTTTCAAACAACGAAGCCATACAACAAAATAATCGACTTGGAAAAGTATTACTATTATTGCAAATACTTACAGATAATTATCAACAAATATTTTTACCTGGCCCAGAAATTGTAGTTGATGAGACTATAGTTCCTTGGAGGGGAAGGCTTTTATTCAGGCAATACATACCGACAAAGTCATATAAACATGGGATGAAACTGTTTAAATTATGTTCTACAGAAGGTTATACATGGTCCATTAAAATATATGCTGGACGAGATATCTGTGGGATCAATCAAACCTGTAGTATTATACCCGAAAATGTTTGCATCGAGCTCATTAATAAGCTATTAAATGAAGGACGTACCTTGTATATTGACAATTTTTATACAAGCTACGAATTAGCAATAAAATTATTAAATTTCAAAACCTATGTTGTTGGAACAGTACGTCACAACAGAAATTTTATGCCAAAAGATGTTATGTTTCACCAATTGCAAAGGGGTGAAATAATATCACGGGAAGACGATAATGGCATTGTAGTGCTGAAGTGGAAAAATATCCGTGATGTCAGTATATTATCATCGAAACATGCACCTGTTATGGTACCAATTTCGGATTCTTCCATTCTTAGTAGTCGTCGTCCTCCAAAAACTAAACCATTGGCAGTAATAGCATACGATACTGTAAGATCTGGCATTGATAGAAACCACCAAATGGTATCATATGCAACAACAATTCGGAAGAGCATAAAATGGTATCAGAAACTAGCAATTCACTTCCTTATAGGAATTACCGTAATTAATGCACATATTGTTTATCAAAAAGCAACAAACCAAAAAATAAAAATAAGAAAATTCCGAGAGCTTATAGTTCAAGAGTGGTTGGAGTCGGAAAACGCAAAACCCCATATAATAGAAAAAGCGTTTCATCAATTGCAAGTTCGAAAAAATCCTCAGGGCAAATCTATAAGAAGGATGTGCGTACGGTGCTACGCAAAACAAAGACAAACTCAACAACGCCAGGAAGTAAGAAAAAATTTACAAAAGACCATAACTTATTGTCCTGAATGCCCACGGTCACCTCAATTATGTTTCTTATGTTTTAACGAATTCCATCATAACCAATAAAAAGCTATATGTAAGTATAATTTTAATTTGTTACTATAAGCATATTTTATGTTTTATTATTTTATTTTATCATTAATATATAAATATGTTTTTGTAACCCTTTGCGTTCGAGGCCCATTTTGTTCGGGCGAACCGAATTCAAAAAAATAATTTTGTTGAATCTTATAAAAAATGGCTTCGCTACAACTGTTACGCTTGTTGTACAGTTGTACAAGCGAAGTACAAACCGTTCGCTTTAACTTACAATATAAATTAAAGTAATATTTGTTATTTTGTATTGTTCCTATATTTATATTTTTAATAAAAATTATATTGGTCATTTAAAAAAGAAAAAAAGGATTTGTTCTTAAAAAGTTTTCGAAACGCAACCCCCCTTTTTGCATTGGCTCTGGGTCTCAAACAACACGGTTTTAAATAACACGGCATTTTCTAGGAATCTATCTACAACACCTATCCGTGTTGTTGGAGGGAGATCTGTACAAAGAATTACAGACTCAGATTTACTTACAGACACAGAACAACTTTTTATCAGACGGAGCTTTACAGAGAATCAGAGAACCACTTAACTTAACTTATCTACACGTATTTATACAAAAAGTAACCTACGCCCTTTTGGAGAGGGGCAGGGAAGATATTAATCTTATTGGCCTTCAGCATTCACTGGAGGTGGGGGGCCAAAATCGGAAAAGCTCGGTCTCCCATCGTTTTTAATTGTTACCGTCAACGGTCCTCTCCTTGGTAACTATCAACGATTTTTCATAAACAACCGTCAACGGTTATCCCTTTAGCAACCATCAACGGTTATCTCCCTAGCAACCGCCAACGGTTTTCCAATTGTTATGAGAAAGAGAATAACACAAAAGAAGAAGATCGTAACCTAATACGACTTATCGCCTACACATAACGTTAAAAGTACACCTACTGTACAAAATACCAAACATAATTGATGCTTGAAATTCACGCCAATAAAGATGGACAGATCACGGGGCGCGCATGGGAAGGGTTGAACGGAAAAAGACTACTGGGTAGACCGAGACGTAGATAGGAGGACAATATTAGGAGGGATTTTAAAGAAATAGGCTACGAAGACCGCGAATGGAGAGGAGGTCGCCCTCAGGAACAGGAACACTGGCGGGATATTTAGTATTTGCTGCAATTGCTTTTCAAGTTCCTAATGCTAATTAATAATTATAATAATAATGTTATTGAATTATAACGTGTTTCTTTTACAACGACTTTTGAAGAGAACATTTTGTTGGAATCCTTGTGATTCAAAACTCAATGAAATGAAAAAAATACTACCAAAATTGTTTCGTTTTTTTTTTCAAGCATTTAAAGGAATTAGTAGCAACAACAAAAATTACTTATGTGTGTAAACCCATAATAAAGATATCTCAAATTCACAGAAAGACTATCATCTACCGGACTTTCAAAAAAGGATATATTATATTTACTTAGGTTAGGACAGTGTATCTTTCTGTCGACAAACATTCTACAATTTTTTGTTCTATCTATAGCTATCGCATTCGGCATTCTATCTTAATTGATACCATTTTGAAAGTGATAGTTTTTGTCAGCTACCCTCCATCCCAAGATCATGCCGGTGCCCTTTGATATATATGTGTGGTAACAATATTATAATAAATAAATAATCCTACAATTATCTTACTCTTGATAATACTCATTCTTTTGAAAATTAATTTTTTCAAGGTTTCACTTTTAACACGTGTGATCTGCATACATGATATTTAGAATATGAAACGGGCCATCACAACTTCCTACACACGGACAGAATCTGGCCTTCTTCATGACTACCCTGGTCAAACTACATAAGATAATTTTTTGGTTTAAAAGAAAATATGTAAAATAAATGATAAGAATTCATAAACATTGAAATGTTGTTGATTAGAGTGTGTCGATTCTCATAATAAATAACCTTAATAAATCTTTTAATATCATCATTTTTCACACTACAGATAAATACTTCTTAGTAGCACTAACTATTCGTAACATTGCTAGAATATTTCCTATTTTATATCTCGAGTAATAGCATGAAGGTTTATTATATATATACATGCGTTATATTATTACAGTAAAATATATTATACTACAAATTGTATGTGTACCTTGACGTTATATATTTTTTAGATAATATCAATTTAATAAATCGTTGTATAAAAGATGTTGTTTTCGAATATTTGAGCATAACTTTAGGGATAAAAATTAAGAAAAATAAGAAAATATTATCCTGTTTAACATACCTCGATTAAACTTTGTTTTCAAGTAAGGATCGTTTTTATGTAAAACCTGTTATTTCATACTTTTTACAACAACCATTAGAATTAATAATCCTCAGTTTAAAATAAAAACTTTCAAACGTTACACAGTAATTAAAAATCCCCAAAACTTGATCAAAAAAATTTAAAAAAAAAAGTTGTACTCAAGAGACTTTTAACTATTGGGATGTGTTTAGTGCACATCGTAGAATTCTTTTCAGCTATTTGTTATGAAAAAGTGCTTATACATGCACACACCTGTAAATCATCATTTAAATACAATTTATATTTTTTCTGATGAAATCTCCACCTAACAGTAAGTACAAATTATGTTTTAAAAAATTATATATATAGTAGGTCTAGAAAATCACCGATCAATTTGAAATAAAATATTGTGAAATTATAATCTATTAACTAATTTATTATAAGCGATAAATTTAAATGTATTCTTAAAAGTCTCTACAATAGACGTTGTAATGAAACAACACAAAATTTTGTTGAATAAATTATAAAATTGATAAGGAAAACGATAAAAATTGGCAAAGACATAAGAATAATAAATATTTGTATCTCCTTAGCAATAAGTATTAACCTTCTTCCAATGGTTCCTATAAGTTTTAAAAATTAAAATAAACCGCATGATTCACCAATTGATCAGGCTAGACAATCGTGAATGATATAAGAATTAATTGTTCATAAACAATTAAGAGAAAACATTCAACAGAGTAATTAGAAATACTACAAACAAACAAACAAACAAACAAAAATAAAAGCTTTAATTTAGAAACAAGATCATATCAGGAATGTATTCATATAAATTTTTTTCTTATTTTAACGTATTAAATCTATCTTCAAAATTATGTTCACATTTTCTGAAACAACATGTATATTAATACAACTTTTAGCACACACAAAAAATGATATAACAAGTACGTAAGATATAGATATTTTTGTAATATATATTAAAATGAGAGTATCATGGTCAACTTGACATTTTTTTTTGCTGTTTCATTATAGGCACTTTACTTTATTATAATAAGAAAATGGACAGGCGATAAGTAAAATTTAAATATAGATAGATAACTTAAGCGAATTATTTAAAGTGTGCGATATAACTTACGTGACATAACGAAAATAGGATTCATTTTCAATTTGAATAGTTTTAAGGATAGGATTACCTTCAAGTTCAGTTCATATTTTCATTTGCAATTTCGCCGTGGAGAAACGAAAAAAAAAAAAAAAAGAAACATCATGAATGAGAATAAAGAAGCAACAGAATCAAACAAATTTTTCAAATTTTCTTATCCAAAATCAGGCGAGGAAGTTGTCATTTCTGGAATAGCTGGTAGATTTCCTAAATCTAATAACATAGAGGAATTAAAAGATAATATATTTAACCGTAAAGATTGTGTCACTGATGACTTACGCTGTTGGAAATCAGGTATCCATTATGTACACATAAATTAGTTTTTTTAACGAATAATCTAACACTAAATTGTGGGGTATAATAATTTTGTGTGTGTGTTTGTATGATGTGGTGTGTGTGGATGTGACGATATTTCTGAAAGTACTTAATGATTTAAAAAAATACAGCTAAAAAAAATGATATTCTTTGTATCGCATGCCGTGATATGAGTATGATTGTTGTGTGTGAGTTGTGTGAAATGAAAGAGACCGCTTGAGGAATAAAAGAAAACCGCTTACTTCGACAGTATTGTATGTGTTTTGTTTGCAAATTTCGAGAAAGAATGTCAGAAAGATTTTGAAAGGATGTCATATATATATATTTGGTTATTTCCACACTTATTTGCAGGCCCTATTTCTTTTGTTTTATTTATTAGTGTTTTCACATTAGTAACTCATGTTTTTCTATTGTTCTCTGAGAAAACAATATCGTTCGTGTATATCAATAGTTGCGTTGTCCCTTTCAGCTGAAGGTACCATCTTTACTATTCTGCAGTTCTTTGACATCAAATTCCAATACTAAATTGAACAAAAGAGGTGATAGTTCGTCCCTCTGTTTTAACCCGCTATGCATGCTAAAAGTTTTCACAACATTTATTTTATAATTATTATAATAAATATTATATTATCAACACCATTAAAATAAATGTGGGATTCCCCTTCTCCTGTTAGTCAGAAACAAAAGATACAAAGTATATATAAGTATAATAAGATGTCTTCTTTGCTCGGCTACTAAACAATGACTAACTCTCGCTTGTTTTTCTTTTATTTTCTTCTTTCGGCGACGCTATTGCTAACGCTATTCAGTTGTTCATTTCGCATTTGTTCATCTTGTGTCCGATTGCACACGATACTCTTTGGCTCACTCATGCTTTTGTGTCCCCTCACTTACACCTCTCAAACTCTCACGCTCTCACACCCCACATAAATATCAAATTAATTCTTACAATATGTTTCGATTATCATCATTCTTTCATAAGACAATCCAGAAATGCCCCAACGTATCGGAAAAATAAGCAATATTGAGAAATTCGATGCAATATTTTTTGGAGTACATTCTAAGCAAGCTCATACGATGGATCCTATGAGTAGAATGTTATTAGAACATTCTTACGAAGCTATCATAGATGCTGGAATAAATCCCCACGAGTTGGGTGGAACGAGGACAGGTGTATTCATAGGTGCAGGTTTTTGCGAGTCTGAGAAATCATTTTTCTACGACAACAGTAAGGTAGGTTAAATGGTCAAGTGATCCACTTATAGATTAAACGATTATTTATATAGATTCTTAAGATAAACTAATACGTCTTTTTATTGATAGATAAATGGCTTTAGTGTCGTTGGTTGTTGCAAAGCTGTATGGGCTAATAGAATTTCATTTTGGTTGAACGTAACTGGACCATCATATATTATAGATAGCGCGTGCAGTTCAAGTCTTTACGCGATGGAACACGCTTATAGGGCTATACGAGATGGACAATGTGATTACGCAATTGTAGGTGGATCAAATCTTTGCCTTAATCCAAACATATCTCTACAATTCAGTCGTTTAGGTATTGATTATGCTAATTTCTTTTAAAAATATTTGCGTTATTTTTCCTATATATACTATCATATCTTTATTAATTTTTAAAAGGGGTGTTATCTAAGGATGGTTATTGCAGAAGTTTCGACCAAGATGCAACTGGTTTCGCGCGTAGCGAAGCCGTTGCTGTAGTATTTCTTCAAAGAGCAAACAATGCCAGACGAATCTATGCTACAATTTGTCATGCAAAAACAAATTGCGATGGTTATAAAGAAGAAGGAATAACGTTTCCTTCCAGCAAAATGCAAAGTTCTCTTTTTCAAGAATTTTATAATGAATGCGGTTTATCAGCTACTTGTGTTTCATACGTTGAAGCTCACGGTGCTGGAACTACAGTTGGTGATCATGAAGAAATGAATGCTATAGACAAGATTTTTACTAAAAACAGAACTAATCCTCTAAAGGTCGGTTCCGTAAAATCAAATATGGGTCATGCTGAAGCAGCCAGTGGAATTTGTTCGATCGTTAAGGTAAGTAAATGTTCCAAGCGTAAAAGGAGAATATTATTCCTCAATATTTATATCTCTTTCTTGTCTTTTCTTTGTATATTATAGGCGATTATATCAATGGAATCATGCCTAATACCACCAAATATACATTTTAATCGACCACGCAAAGATATAAAAGCTTTTACAGAAGGACGAATCGAAGTTGTTACTGAGACCACTCCGTTAGATGGTGAATATATAGGAATTAATTCTTTTGGCTTTGGTGGTACTAATGCTCATGTATTACTCAAATCAAATTCAAAGAAAAAGGTCAATAATGGATTGCCCAATGACGATTTGCCTAGACTCGTAGTTGTTTCTGGACGTACGGAAGAAGCAGTAATAGCCATATTAAATGACGTAAGTAATACGACACTGTATACTGTGGATTATAGAAAGTAGTATTCTATTTGTTAACATCACGTAAATACAATTTTCATATTTTATTTGGTAGATCGAAAACCGATCAGTGGACGTCGAATATGTTCGTCTTCTTCATGACATTTATCTTAAAAACATATCAAATCATTTATATCGAGGATATACGATAACTGGTCTTCAAAAATCTAATAGAAATATTAGAAAAATTAACTATTTTTCTGGTTCAAAGAAACCAATTTGTTTTGTCTTTTCTGGAATCGGTTCGCAGTATCTTGGAATGGGTATGAATATTAAATTACAATATTTACAAACAATTATTATTACAATGATTAAACGTATCGTACAAAATTGGAAATCTGTTAGGTCAAGCTCTGATGAAGTTTCCTGTATTTGTTAAAGCATTGCAAAAATGCGACGAAGTGTTAAAACCACATAAATTGAATATTTATCAAATTTTAATTGAAAACGACAAAACTATATTTGATAATGTCTTGCACTCGTTCGTTGGAATTGCTGCTTTTCAGGTAATGCTGATAAATGTAATATATGAATACATTTGATAAGATCTAATAATAGAAAAACAAATCTCTACAGATTGGCTTGGTAGATCTGTTAACTTCTATGGGTATAATACCGGACTATATAATCGGACATTCTTTTGGGGAACTTGGTTGTGCATACGTAGACGGATGTTTGACTGCAAAGGAAATGATCTTGGCAGCTTATTGGCGAGGAATAGTCTCAATAGAAGAAAAAATACCATACGGTTCTATGGCCGCAGTTGATCTTGGTTATAAAGATATACAAAAATTATGTCCATCTGATATTGACGTCGCATGTCACAATGGACCTGAAAGTTCAACAATTAGTGGACCAGCTGAATCAATGAAAATATTTATTAAAAAACTGCAGGTTCGTTTTCAGTAGATTATAATACAACTGATGGAAAAAATTGTCTCTAAAATAATTGGATAAATTAGCTGATATAATATATTTATATTTAATAGGATATGAAGATTTTTGTAAAAGAGGTATCATGTTGTAATATACCTTATCATAGCCGCTACCTCGAAGCTGCTGGAAAAAAACTTTTGGCATATTTAAAAACTGCAATACCTGTAGCTAAACCTCGAAGTAAAAAATGGCTTAGTACATCGGTACCTCGTAACGAATGGTCACAATCAGACGCTCAATTCTCCTCTAATGAATATTATACCAATAATTTTTTGAAACCTGTACTTTTCGAAGAAATTTTAGACCTTATTCCTAACAATGCTGTCACAATTGAAATTGCACCGTACGGTCTATTACAAGCGATATTGAGAAAATCATTGCAACCTACGGTAACAAATATTGCATTAACTCAACGAGATCATGAAGATAATTTAACGGTTTTTTTACAAAATTTAGGAAAGCTTTATAATATTGGCTTACAACTAGACCTTTCTAAATTATATCCACTCGTAGAATATCCAGTTAGTCGAGGTACTCCAATGATATCTCCACTTGTTAGGTAAAAAATATATGAATATTTAAAGGTTTTTAAATGTTGTATAAAAGTTTAATGTAATATGGTTTTTTTTAGATGGGAACATTCGTATGACTGGTTTGTAACATCTTACAATATGAAAGAGAAAATTAACTCAGGAGATCGAATGATTGAGATATCGATCCTTGATCAAAATTTCCAATACATACAAGGCCACATGGTCGATGATAAAATTTTGTTTCCTACAGCAGGATATTTATGTCTGGTCTGGGAAACTATGGGTATTAATATAGGACAGCTGTACACAGACTTATCCGTTATCTTTGAAGATGTAAAGATTAATCGTGTTACAAATATTCCAAAAAAAGGCAAAATTGAAATGACCGTAATGATTCAAAAAGGTTAATTACTTTTTAAAAATATGATCAGTAAATAATTTTTCAACAATGCATCATAATATAAATTTATTATAGGCAGTGGTAAATTCGAAATAACCAAGGATAATGATGTTATCGTAACTGGAATTATTCGTATTGCACAACATTTATCGAAAGAAAAAGTACATTTGAATTTAATCAAAGAAAATAATGACGAGGAGGAAGATGAATTAAATGCGAATGATATTTACAAAGAATTGAAGTTACGTGGTTACCAATATACTGGCCTCTTTCGAAGTATACACAGTGCATCAATTTCTAAAAATAAAGGACAGGTCGAATGGAAAAATAATTGGGTAGCGTTCATTGATAACATTATGCAGATGAAAATTCTAAATGTTGATACTAGAGATTTACTTGAGCCAATTGGAATTCGAAAATTGATAATAGATACTGAAAGTCATCAAAAATATCTTGAAAACTTTGCCAATGATCAACAATGTAAATATTTATTGTTAATAGAATATGATCATGTGTATTAAGTCATTATTTATCCATTATTATACTTAACGCTAATGATTTTATTTCAGATTTACCTATACGATTCTTTAAACAGATTGATGTGATTATAGCTGGTGGCGTGGAAATTTGTAATTTAAGATTACACGTGATGGCTCGAAAAAGTCCTATCGACAATCCAATTATCGAAGAATATAAATTCATTGCTTATCGTGATAAAATGGAAATATCATTGCGAGAAGTATTAACGTTATCTATGCACATTACTCTGGAAAATATACCAGTGAAAAATGTAAAGACAATAGAACTCATTGAAGATAATGACAACATATCAGCAGAGGAACTCGTTTCTCCAATATTTTCAGATATTCTAAGTAAATTACCTTTTATTCGAGCAAACGTTAATATATTTACACCTCCAAACAAATTTAACACAGATGATATTCCTAAAGATATCATAGTTTCCAAATTAAATAATTTACAATTTAATAGTTCCTCGTTACTAGCTGTGGGAAGTTGTTTGTTGACCACAGAGAAGAAGAACAGTTTGAAGCAACTTTTACAATCAACGATATACGGAGCTTTTATTTTATCTCGTGAAAAAACGTGTACACCATTAGATTTGTCAATTATACAAGAGTTTCAATTAGGTATAGTTTTGGAGAAACGTACTTCTGAAGAAGCATGGATATTGTTAAGAAAGATACAGAAAATTCCTCAAAATACTTTGTTTATTAACGTTAATAGTAATAAATTTCATTGGTTGAAACAAGTGCAAACAATATTAGTCAATAAAACAAAACAAATAATTAATGACACAAGAGTGATACTTGTTGAGGAAGGAAACTTCAAGAGTGGTCTTTTAGGATTCATTAATTGTTTAAGAAAAGAACCAGGTGGTGAAATATTTCGAGCACTTTTAATTCAAGATGACAAAGCTCACAAATTTTCGTCAGAATTACCTCTTTATTCCGAACAACTAAAAACAGATCTTATTATCAATGTTTTACGACCAGGAAATATTTATGGATCATATAGGCATCAATTACTTCCACCTTGGGAGCCCAAACCAGCACACCATGCATTCATCGGTCAATTGGTATTTTTATTTGACGACTTTATATTATATTATTAACATTTACATATTACAAAATAATATAATAATATATTTGTTAACAGTTTCGTGGAGATTTAAGTTCGATACGTTGGATTGAAGGGCCAATTACAAAAGACTATGAAAAGGAAGAAGATCTTGTAAATATTTATTATGCATCGTTGAATTTTAAAGACGTATTGCTTGCGACGGGTAAATTAACTTTAGAAGTTGAAAATAGAAAAGAAATATACAACGAAATTGGATTTGAATATAGCGGAATTAGTGGTAATGGTCGTCGCATTATGGGGATCAATCGAAATAGGTAAAGTGATTACAAAATTACAAAATGAACAGAAATTCAGTTTTAATATAAAATAATGAAAATTGTGTGCATAATATTTATGGCAGGTGTCTATCAAATTTTTGTCAATTAAACGAAACTTTTTCTTGGATTGTACCTGAGAGTTGGAGTTTAGAAGATGCAGCGACAGTACCGTGCGTATATTGCACATCTATTGCTGCTCTTTATACGTACGGAAAAATGAAGAAGGGTGATAAAGTCCTTATCCATGCTGGTAGTGGTGGTGTTGGCCAAGCTGCGATAAATTTAGCCCTTTATGAAGGCTGTGAAGTATTTACTACTGTCGGTACATTAGAAAAGCGCATATTCATTAAAGAAACATTTCCTAGCATCGATGATTATCATATAGGAAATTCTCGAGATACTAGCTTCGAACAACTAGTATTGCAACAAACCGATGGTGCAGGTGTAGACATAGTTCTAAATTCTTTAACTGATACGAAACGTTTGGCATCTCTTCGTTGTTTGGCCCACGGAGGACGATTTTTAGAAATTGGGAAGTTTGATTTTGTTACTGATAGTCCGTTAAGCACAGATTTTTTTATGAAAGAAATCAACTTTCATGTCATAATGTTGGATCAAATTATGACTTCTTTTGAACAAGTGAAAAACGAAATTAGTTCGAAATTCAATCAACTTCTTAAGGAGAATGCTATCAAACCGATTAATAGAACAGTTTTCGATAAAGATCAAGTGGAAGCAGGACTTAGATTCATGGCAGCTGGAAAACATATTGGAAAAGTAAGTTGATGTTAGTTTTTTGGAACATTTGTATAATTAAAAAACAATATTAAATTATTCAGAAATATGTACGTATCTGAAATATCTTAGGTACTTATAAAGATCCGAGAAGTAAACGAGTCACTGATAAGACCCATCTTAGCTGAACCTTCTTACTTATGTTTTCCGAACAAAAGTTATATTATCTTTGGTGGCTTGGGAGGTTTCGGTTTAGAATTAATCGATTGGTTAATTCTACGAAATGCTCAAAATATTATCATTACTTCGCGACACGGTGTAAAAACTGGTTATCAACGCATGAGAATCAAAACATGGGAATCATATGGCGTGAATGTTAAAATCCTTGTTGGTCTTGATGCCGCTAGAAGAGAAGACTGTGAGCTTATTGTGAAAACAGCTATTGATGAGGGTCCCATAGATGGTGTATTTAATCTCGCTGTATCTTTGAACGATCGAATTTGTACAAATCACACGTTGGAAAGTTTTCAAGAGCCTTTCGAAGGAAAAGCTTGGGCCACGACACATTTGGACGAAGTGACTAGAGAACTCTGTCCAGATCTTCGACACTTCGTAGTCTTCTCCTCTGTTTCTTGTGGAAGAGGAAATGGCAGTCAAACAAATTACGGCATGGCTAATTCAATTATAGAAAGAATATGTGAAAAACGAGTAAAGGATGGTTTTCCTGGATTAGCCATACAATGGGGAGCGATTAAAGACGTCGGAATTCTTGCGGACATGCAAAAGGACGATAAAGAACTTTTCATAGTTGGTACCCAACGACAAACCATAGCATCATGTTTACATGAACTTAATAGACTTTTGCTACAGAGTAAACCTGTGGTTTCTTGTATGGTGATACCTGAAAAACGTGTAATTGACAATGATGTGAATAACATTGTAGATACTATTTCAAACATTATGAGTAAGTTTTATTTAAACAATACTATTCCTATTATTATTTTTATGAAAGCGAGCACTTTTATTCTAAATAAAATAGATATTCGTAAAGAGGTTGACCGAAGGTATTGTCCCTGAATACTTGAATGGTTAAGACAATAAGCCAGAAAACGAAAGATCTGGATTCGAGACAATCCAACGGATTGACCCACCTCTTTTCGAATCCCACGTATTTATATTTCTACATGTATAAATTTTTGATTGCAGGTATTAGGGACTTGAAGACCATCAGTAAATATACTTCCTTAGCTGAACTGGGAATGGATTCAATAATGGTTATAGAAATAAAACAAACGTTAGAGCGGGATTTTCAAATATATCTAACCATACCAAATATTCGAAGCTTAAATTTCGCCAAACTCATGGATATGAATAATAATGAGATCGATAATAATAATAATCAAGATTCCTAGAGTACACATAATTATATTGAGTATTGCAATTGTCTGATGATTACAGAAGAGAAAACGAAAATCAGATTGTTTAAAAAATTATTTGAAAAATCGTTAGTGCATTTCGTAGACAAACAATCATGCAGAAGTCATACACAAATTCATCGTGATTTAGAATCTCATATATTTATAATATTAAAGTTCAAAGAAATACATACAGATAGCTTAAACATTAGTAAAAAAAAAAAAACCCCCCATGTATATTATGTTACTCAAGTAAAAAAATCAACTCAACGGTGTGGTAAAATACAAAAAAAAAAGAAATAAAAAGGAACCAATAAATCATTGTCCATATTTTTTGTTTTGAGAAACCTCAGTAGTGTAGATATTTTTTTACTATTTGTATATTGAATAGAAAGTAAAGATGGTCTACAGTTGAACGGGACAACACAATTGTTGACATACGCGGACGATATTGCTTTGTTAGGGAACAATGAAGAGTCATTAATAATTAATAACGCAAAAATATTAATAGATAATACTAAAGAGCTAGGACTGCAAATAAGTAATTTTTAGAAAAAAAGTAAATGTAGTAAGGAATAACAGATGTAAAGAAACAAGACGCTAGACGAAATTTTCACCATAAAATGAATTATTTTCAATCTGAAAACGTTAAAAATAAAAAAAAAAAGAGATCAATAAATTTGAAGTAAGATAAAGTAAAGATAAAGTAAAGATTATTTTGTAAATAAAAAGAAAAAAATCAATTACTTACTTTCTATTTAAAAGTTTTCCTTTTTCTATCGTACTCATTGGATCTTTCAACATGTATACTCGAAGTCCTTTCATGTAAATATCAAAAAAACATTCCCAATCAATATCAGAAATATCAAAGAAGAAGTTATATTTATCTACAACAGATAACTTGTCCCATAATTTGAGAACATTATCGTTCGTGAATTCCCAATCGCGAGTGTTGAAAAAGCTTATTACATTATAAAAAGTTCCCATTTTTTTGTAGATTTTGAACAATCTGAAAATATATATATATATATACAATTAATCTAACGATACTCTTTCCCTTTCGATTAATAAACAAATCGTTTTTATGTAATTTTAATAGCAACAGATATTACATTGGTTTTCCTCCGCTGAGATACGTTAAGGAATCCAATATAATTGCTGGTATCCAGTGTAAAAGAATTGTCCAAACAAAATTGACATAATAATTTCGATTCAAACATAACGAGTAATACCATAAGACTTGTTCCGATGGATACTGAATCCCATTACTTTTTATTTTTTCAGCTAAGGTAAACAACGTTAATCGATTCTGAACGGAAGAAACAACATTATAAACTGGAATCTTTTCATCAACGGGCATAGACTTGTTGATTCCGTTTGAGATAAGAATATTTTGTGGTTTTGATCTGCGAACAAAAATGTTGTTTTTAATCGTTGCAAATATTATTTCAAAATCTATTATCAACACTAGATTTATGGACTGAGCAAATTCGATGTTGCTGTGTCACATTGTTCGTCCGCAATAGACTTCTAAACTACTGATCCGATTTTAATCAAATTTTGCACACTGTGTGCAATTTCATTCAACTTGAAAGATAGGATAGTATATATGTATAAAACTTAAATATTATTTTTTTAAAACATATGTTGGTGTTAAGTTACCTAATGAAATATACTCAACCCTTTGTTCAAATAATGTTTATAAGTGTAAAACGGCGTTTTTACAGCGATTTTCAGAAATTTTTTTAACAGAATAAGAAATTGATATAATTTATTAATATTTTCTGGTCATTTTGCACTATATTTGAGAATTTATTCTGAAATTTTCCAAAATATTTCTCAAAACGTAACAAAAGCATCAACTGCCACGCATTGTAGGGTCGCAACTTAACTTAGAAGTTTGTGTGTACATTTTAGAGATTGTAATTTTGATCAGAAACCAATTATAAATAGAAATTTCATATTTAAAAAAAAATTACTCTTTTTGTACGACGTCCCATGCTGCAACGATAGTGTTGTTGACAACATAATCAACAGGAACTATATCTGATATAACTCTATCATCACAATGCAGGGTATGTAAAACACCCATCATCGCACCAAAAGCAACACCTGTCAATCCATACAAATTATTGATCCATCCTGCTATTGGTTCTTTTGCAGTTGATACTACGATAGATGGCCGAATTATGCAAGTTGGAATTCCATTGGAATATTGTCTTACAGTATCTTCACATATTGCTTTTGTATATACGTAAGTGTTTGGCCATTCACCAAGTAATCTGCAAAATAAACGAATATACCGATGGAATAAGATTTAAAGAGTAATGCATATTAGTCTTATTTTTTTTTTTTTTTTTTTTTTTTTTCATTATACTTCGGTGTAATTAAATGCAATTGATCTTCGGTCAAAATTTCTGTTAATTTTATTATGTCATCTGTCTTTATAGGTGGTTTGTAGAATTTTTCTTCAATTTTATTATGCACACATTGCGAATATGCCGTTGATATATAGACAAATGCCTAAACAAAGAATTTATTATAAGGTTAATATTATTATAGGCTTATATTAAGGTAAATCGTTTAAATAGAAAATAGTATACCTTTAAATTATTCATCTTTTGGGCGAGTAAAAGAAGATCTCTCGTACCCCTAATATTTGTATTAACTATAAAACGAATATTATCCATGAAACGAACGGATGCTGCACTGTGAAAAATCAAGTCGGTATCTTTAATGAGTTCGCAATCTTTCTCTGATAATCCTATATTCGGTTCTCCCATGTCACCTTCTATTAAAACAATCTTCTTTTCCACATCTTTTTGTTCTCTCTTAAGTCTATCAAAAATCTGAAAATCGAAATATACATTTGTATTTTAACACGTTCTGTGTTTCTTTCACGTGATTGTTTTAATTAATTAAACGTTTTAATTAAACGTTAAATTTTCCCTTTTAAGTCTTGTAAACCATTGGTAGTACACTTGGAGAGAGATTATAATTTTACTCACAATATCATTGAAATATTCTTTGAATCGATTTTGCGGACTCGTATTCTTCTTTCCTCTTATTAATAAATAAACTGTTTTAATTTCGGGACAGCATCTACGAATTATATATCCAATATGTTTATAAGAATAATTATTTAGAGAAAAATCAATGTTTATAATAATACGTAAACGAAAAATAAATAAATGAATAAGAGAACTGACAAAAATAATATACAGTAGTATGGATAAATTAGTTAAAGATGCAACTTAGTAATAAATATTTAATGTAATTATTAATATTAATGTAATTATATGTATAAATATTCAATATGAATCCTATATTTTGGTGTAAGTCCAGTTTTTTTTTTTTAAATGAGATATCAAATGTATTTACATTACTTTCAAAATAAACGGTTTCATTGAGAATCAAAAGATGTGAAACATTTTTACCTTAACAGCTTTTCCATTATAAGTCTTCCTACAAATCCTAAAGCTCCTGTTATGAAGATTTTTTTTCCAGAATAAAATTTAGCAATTTCACCTTGTTGATTATAATAATTTGGCTCTTCTATCATTGAAAACAATTCCTCTTGATAAGTTTGGCCACTTATTAATGACATTTTTAGGATTCTTTTATAATAAAACAAAAGTGTTACATAAATATAAGAAAAAAAAAATTTTAAGTAATAAATAATTAATATATATATTTATAAGTAAATTCATAATATGTTTGTTTGCACATTTCTACAAAATTTCATTTAAATAGATCAACATGATAGAAAATTAACTGTATTTATTATGAAATATTAATAATTTTGTATAGAATTAAAAAAAATTTTAAAAATAACGTGTGTGTAACAAAAACGTATCATTTAATATTTCCCCCAAAAAAAATTAAGATAGCTTATATAATATTTAATTGCATAAAAGTTCTAATTGTGAGTTCTCTATCTGTGGCATGTTAATTAAAAAAAAAAAAAAGGAATCAAATTTGTTAATTCAATTGATTTAAAATTTGTATCTTATTTATTTATATTGAAAATCTAAATAAATTTGCTTTGTATAATTTGCACAGATATAAAAAAAGAATATAAAAGGTTGAAAAGCAAAATACTTACTTTTATAATCTCAGCAAAATTGTTAATTTAAATGATATATTAAAATATAAAAATTGCTGTAATTTTTAAATGATTAAAAATGAAAACACCTTAAAACCTTTAAATCCTTTAAGGTATCAAATTAATTGTTAATAAGACTTGAATCAATTCTAAGAAAAAGTTCTTGATAAGAAAAATTTCTTGACCTTCTTTGGTGAATCTTCATTCACTTATGGTCAAACATCAACTGTCGAATGCTACTTAAGCAATCACTACTCAATTAATTAAAAAATGTTTACCGTGACAATGTTTTTTCACTATAAAATTGTTTATCGTGTTAACATAGCTATTATCATATCGTATAGGAATACTTTATCATATATAAATAATAAGTGTCTATTGTTCCTGCAGGAAATAAATACTTTGAAAACCTAAGCTACGTAACTAATTTTTCGCATTTGTTTTTTTGTTACGAGGTCTTTACATAAACTTAAAATAAAAAAAAAAAAACCAATTCTATCAAATAAAAATATTAAAATATTCAATATATTATATTTTTTCATTACCGAATAAACGCATACATATACATTCATTATAGGCGTAAAAATTAGAAATTCTTTAGAAATTTGTTTACAATGTAAAAGATGTTTACAATGTATTTATTGAATATTCATATAAAACACATGTATTTAGAAACGTCACACCTCCTCACTTTTAATATTCTCGAATAGTACAACTTTCCCACCACAACCTACTCTAACTAAAACCCCCTTCTTGACCTTTGAATACTAAATCTCTCTACCAATGTTTTTTGAAAATGATAATAATTTATTTTTACTTAAAATATTTATTTATACGAAATTTTGAGTAATTGAGAAATAAGAGATTCAGTTTAGATATTATTAAAAAAATATTGTTGTTCTCATATTTAATGCTTTATCAAATCAAATATAAGTCAAGGTGAAATTTATATTGTGCTTTCATTTTTTTTTATATTTATATATATGTTATTTTTCTTATGATTTAAAACAAAAATTAATATAAAGAATTAAGTAAATAAAAATAAATGCAAACAATCAGTCAAGTGTAATAAAAATTTTGCCAATTATATAATGAAATTTTCTAATATAAATATAAGAGTAATTTAATTACCATTCTTAAAGTTATATTATCTATAAAATTATACTAGTGTTATACTTTAAAAGTTTAAAAAAAAAAAAGATATAAATTCAATAATTATTAACCCTTAAAGAGTGCACATGAAGCGTTTGACACCCCAACAAATTTTCTGATTTCTCGAAAACGTTACTGAATTCGAAAAAATGGGTTATTTGTCTAATGCCATCTAGTGTTAATTAAAATGGGTATAAAACCTAATTCTATTTTTTAAAAAGATATATCAAACTACTTTGAAAAAAATTGCGAAGTCTAAATATTAAATAGCGGCTTCAGGAGATGCGTTACAAACACGTTGGGGTGTCAAACATCCACAGTGGTGCACTTTAACTAATTTTTACCAAGTGTGCACTTTAAGGGTTAAATAAAAATCTAGCGATAAAAAAAATTTGCGTTAATTCTGAAATAAATAAAATATTAACGTTTAAATACAATATCAAATCTTCGATAATGAATGTGGTAACAACAAACATGGTGTAAATGTTCCGAAACATAACTTTAGATGAAATTTCCGATGAAATTAATCGACTTTATAAGCCGATAAACTGCTAGGTCCTATACTTCGACAAGTTATACATAAATATCAATTGTACGTTAATATCATAAATGCTGTTTTTTCAAAAAGATTCAATTTATTTATTATTCTTGTATAAGGTTCTGAAATAATTTAAAAAAAAAGAAAAAATAATTCATGTCATGTATATAAATATATATAAATAATAAATATTTGTTTATAGTTAAGAACAACATTGTACCAACCATTATCAATCCCTCCAAATGCACCAATACCAGAATACTCGACTAAAGGAACTCCAGGAAAAACTTCTTTAAATGTAGTTGATTCTAATCGAGACAAATAAGCACGAAATTGAGGATTAAACATGAATCCTATCGAATGTTTTTTCAATTTTATATTATCCTTAAAGTATTTCAATTTTCTTTCGATCTTTTTCTGAGTATTACAGTTGCAATACAAAAATGTCGACCAAGTACTCAACCCCTCACCGTATATTAAAACAGCAATGCAAAACATGCTTTTTTTTAATACACTTGTATGTGGTATATGATGACAGATCGATAAATAATCAACTATTCCACCCCACACAGGAAGTCTTTTATTTGGAAACCTATGTAACAAAAAAAAAATACATTCGAAATATAACCGTATATAAATAAATAATAAATAAATAAAAGAAACTATTAGGTTGTTGTAAAAATTTCTTTCTCATCGTACTGTAAATTGTTTATTTTGCCCAATCGTGCAAGCATGCAACATTAGAAATATATTAGCTGTATACGTCATTGGTCTCAGTTGTCTTAGAGTCTCTTTTACAGTACGTTTTGTTTGAGCAAAAGTTTCTTATATAACAAAATATTGTGTATTCATTTCGTATAAAAAAAAAAAAAAAGAAAGAAACTTATAGATAAACCCAATGTTATATATTAAATTAAATATTTTGTTGTGTGTATGTGTGTATTACCAATTTCTCAAAGCTTTCTCAAGATTACTAATTATTAAAACTCCATTACGATTGCACAATAATATCATACAACTTTTCATTGGTTTGTCAAAATTAAAAACAGATTCAAATACAGTTTTCAATTGGTCTGCATTCGTAAAAGAAAGATTAAAATTAGCATCTATTTCATGACAATATATTCCATTGCCCCAAATAAGTTTATAAGGTACAAGAGTAAGTGTAGAAACTTTGATGTTAGGTACTTCAGGAAAGAACATGCCTAAAATCGTATTTTTTTCTTCTGTCGGTAAATAACTACCAACTACTGGTGAGTACCAATTAGACGACATATATTTGCAGTAACATTCTTTAAAAAAAAATCAAAATATCTTATGTAAGAATAATTTATCAATCATTACAAACCCCATTCGAGACCACGATTGTTTTCAAACACGGTTCGCAAGAGCTACTATTTCATTGTGAGGTCAAATAAAAATTCATCATTATTATTATTATTTTAAATTGCCATTAGGAATTTAAAAATTCATTGACGCAAATGCTAAATTCCACCAGTGTTCCACAACTGAGCGCGACTCTTCCATTTACAGTATTCGTATCCTATTTCGATGATTTTAATAAAATGTCAGTTTTTTTGGGGATTACTTTACTCAAAATAATTAATAAGGGGTCATTATTATTGATTGCACACACGATGTGCTACCGGTCTTTTTGAAAACAAGTTTTTTGACAGACTGTGTGCAATTGGTCTCGAATGGGCGTACGCAACATTCAACTTACCTCCTACAATATCTTCTTTACTTTTAATTCTAATAAATAACATGCTTAAGGAAGGTTTAACTTGGCAATATTTTATAATTTCTTTTTGTATAACCTCATAATCCTTAGAGTCTAGTTTTGTATCTTTTGTTTTAATAATGCACATGGGACCCCTTCTTTTTTTTTCATCGTTTGCTATTTCAAACCAAGATCTACTTTTAGAATAAAAATTAAAAAAAATATGGTGAACAAATTTAAATCATTTAAATACATTCATCTTAAGACAATTTTAATACAAATATAAAAATAACTATTATAATTGTTGTAAATGTTAATTTAATAAAATATGATCAAAATGTAATGTTTGCAATATTACCTAGAAACTTGAGAAACATTGTGCAGATCAAATCCATTCAAATATTGAAAAATAATACGTAGAACATAGTAGTTCAAATTTTTCACCATATTTTAAATAATATCTATAGTATAATAATATATTACAAATATAATATTCTAAATTAACTAATTTATATTACCTATGTCAAAAAAAAAAAACTTCAATACTTATTAGTCCATTACGTACTTTTCTAGCTGTTGTTATGTACAATAAAGAAAAATTTAGTGTCTCTTACATCTGTTTTGAAGTTTTTCGTTCTATTGTTTACTCACGCATCAGATCAACAGATGCTTTCTTTTCTGTTAATGAGAAAACAAATTTAATTTAAATTACGTTTAGCAAAAGTTAATTACTGGCTAGTTTAACTGACCGTTTCAGTTAGTTAAATTTCACAAAGACAATCATCTTCTCATCAAGACAATGAAACGAAATAACTTATGCAAAGTATATAAACGGAGAAATCTAATAAACTGACTGTCTTTAATTGATTTTGTAACTGTTAACTTATTTGTAAAATTTCACAACATGTTGTTACCTTTACAAGGACAAACATTGACTGAACTTTTCGTAGATTCATGAGTTGACGACGAATTTTTTACAAATCCAAATTTTAAATAATAATCGATGTCATTTTATTTCTGACACGTGTGATCTACACACATGATATTTTTTGTTTTCATTATTATTATATATATAATATTATACCGCCATTTGTTAGAATCTTATCGAACTAACAGAGATAATTATGACTCTTTGTTAATAAACAAATAATATTGCAATTATAAATTAAGATATAAACTATTCTATCTTTCAAGTTGGATGAAACTGCACACAGTGTGTAAAATTTGATTAAAATCGGTTCAGTAGTTTAGGAGTCCATTGCGTACAAACAACGTGACACGTAATTTATATATATTAGAATAAATATAATACTTAATAAATTCTAAATTAATAAGTATGCTAATCACTTAATCTTTTTCTATTGCTTTTAAAGGAATGCAATGCAATGGATCTGATGGATCTCGGTTACCTGGTTTGTGGAATAACATAGCTGCAACTCCCATCAGGTTGCCTTTACCACCACCTGCTACAGATTGCTTTGATTTTTCATTTCAAACGAATATTACTAATGATACAATGTAATCTTCATTTAGATATCATATTCTTCTAATAAACAATTATAATTATTTAGTTTTATGTGTGTTCGAAGAAAATAAATATCTAATTAAACAAAATGGGATTTTGTCTATTTTCCAAACATTATTTTAAATAGTATTATTAATTTTATGCGACATAAATCTGGTGTCTCTTTGATTCCATATTTTTTTTTATAATATCGAAAAGAAAAGAAAAATGCATTAATTTATTTATATCGTCTATTTACAATTTCTGACAAAAACTTATATTAAATTTTGGGGGGAGGGGGGGTTGGAAAGATATCCATTATTTTGACATTTATTTAACTCTTTCGCTACGGGCATATTTTCCGCGGTGCTACTTCTACTGTACGGGCTGCTGCTAATACGTGCAACAGCATCGATATTGCACTTTATTTTCAAGTAATTTTGTTGTTGATATTAACGATTTTTAAACAAAAGAAACAAAACACTAAAATTACATGTCCAGTGTGTGGGATATTTGATTTAGTGCTATAACTGCATATGTTCGTCGTATGTAAAATACGCAGTATTTTATAAAGAGGGCCACTATAGTGGTACGTAGTAGCGAAAGGGTTTGACGAAATTCACCTCTCGGGTGCAAAGAGATTAATTCGTTGAGATATAACATAAAAGAAGAAATATAAGAGAAAAAAAGAAAAAGATAAAACAATATTAAATTATTAATATAATCGATATGAACAAAATTAATTAATTAACTAACAGAGAAGATTATTTTGTATCCATTGAAATATTAGCGTTTATGTATATAATATTATACAGAAGAAGAAGAAAAAAAAAAACATTTTTATAATGTACAAAAACTATTAATAATTAATCTTAACTTTCTTTTTTCTTTTTATTTCTTCCATAAATTTTAATAAATGAGGATGTATATAGTATATATGAGTACGTACGAGCATTTGCGTTATAAATTCAATTGTTTGATCTAAATATTACGAAAAAGAAGTAGTTAGTCTCTTGTGTGAATCTATTTTAATAATAATAATAATAATAATATTAATGATAAAATAATAAAAAATAATAATGAGTTAATATTTATCGGTAGAAAAGTTTTGACGAAATTCCTACAAGTTTACAAGCACTGATTTTTATTCTTTTTTTTTTTTTTTTGTTTGTTTGTTCTATTAATTTCTTAATTTTCTTCTCTTGTTTTTGTTCTTTTCATTTTGTTTTGTTTTTTTTGGCAGTACATCGTCAATACTTAAGCATGATTGAATGTTCGTCGTAGCAAATACTGTAATAATTGGAATCATTTATCGTTTATCATATTATAATAATAATAATAATAATAACATAATAATAATAATAATAATAATAGTAGCAGAAACTTGTTTTTACATTTCATATGAATGTACAAAAAAGGGTTTTATAGCCTTAGGACTACGATATCAAAATTAAAAGTATATCCCGTATTTACTATATAATACATTGGGCGCTGATTATGCGTACAAACATACATACTTACATTATTCACTCATACACTTACTTACGTACGTACGTACACTTACAAACATATTTTCATACATACTATATAGTTGCCACCGTACAAGCATAAACGTTCATTCACGAAAAAGTATCGTCATTTATTTATTTAATATTATTTTATATTTTGTGTTTATTTATTCTTATTATAACAAACGCTATTTTGTTTTTTTCTTTTCTTTTCTTTTCTTTTCTTTTCTTTTCTTTTCTTTTCTTTTCTTTTCTTTTAATGTTTAATATTATTTCTTTCTTACTTTCTCTTCATCAAACTTTAAGCAAAAGTCGTCAATTTTGTTTTTTGTTTGTTTTTTTGTGTGTGTGTTTTTCGACGTTCATTAAAAAAGCTCACAAAGTTAGTTTCAACATTCCTAGCAATTCACTGATATTTATCAAATATTTATTTTTGTACTGCCAAATAACACGTACACACTTCATTTTATTATTTATTTCGTTTTCTTTTCTTTTCTTTTCTTTTCTTTTCTTAACTAATAAAGAAATCTTTCTCTTTGGCATCGCATTAAACTTCATTTCAACTTTAAATGATACATATACGTACAGATCGTTAAAAATTATAAACATATTATATATGATAAACAAAAACATATGTCATAAAATAAAACAACATCAAAATTTATCGATTCATACCATCAAATACATATATATATATATATATAGAAAAAAAAAGAATATAATAATAATAGATAAAATAAAATTAAATTAAATTAATTCATACAAAGAGTACAACAAATGTTTATAACATTTGATGTATCAAACTAAAAACTATTAATTATTATTACACAGAAATTAACATTTGTATATTACAATACTCCCCCTTATCCTCTCTCTCTCTCTCTCTCTCTCTTTCTCTTTCTTTCTGATATAAGTGTTATACCATAATGTTTGTAACATTATAAAATACATTTTGTTGTGTTTGGCAGTACAGTTATTAAATAAGATGCTAGAACATGTGTGCAGATGAATCCGATCAATGTATTAATTACAAAAGAATTTTTCTGCAGAGTTTTAAGGCAAATAATTCATCGCTGCCTTAATTAAAAAGAGATCATCTTTGACATGTGTTTTTCTGTCTTTTTTGTTTGTTTTTTTCATTAATCAAGTTTAGCATTGAGCTCAAAAATAAACAATGAATAATAAAAATGCATTTAATATGAATTATATA